TGGCGAGCAGACATGCAGGCATACGATGACGCACGCAGTGATAACGTGTCCCACAATATTATTATCACAACTATCTACCATTTTATGTAAAAAAATCGGTTCTTGTATTTTAGATATCCAGTAAAAGGCAGAATCACAACTCCACAGTTAAAAATTGTTACACTTCTACAAGCTGAACTGAACGATTTTATAATTCTCGATTCGGGACTTCAACAAGAATGTTTTAAGGCTTTCAAAGCTTTTACTCGATGTGCAGCAGGCAAATGCATATTTTTAATAAATTTAAAATTTGTTAGTTATTGAACAGATGTATGCTGGATATAAATTATTCATAAATTTTACATTAGAATGTCTTAATCTAACTTTCGTAAATCGATTTATCAGGTCTTCGTAATCTCCTCTGGGCAACAAAGTCAAACGGTTGTGAGGTATCGAACATTGCCACGAAATCCTTGCCTCAGTCAGCGGCCATGTCAGGATTTGCTTGCATGGCACACGTAATTGAGCTAGCCAAGGTGGTGGCCTATCGAGTATGGGCTGATGCTCCGCTCGCATCCTTGAGACAATTGCCTGACATCGGAAAGGACTACGCCAGCCAGTTAGCAGGAGCGGGTGTAGCTTCATTAAAAGACATCGAGAGAGTTGGGCCAAGATGCATTGAACAGGTTAGTTGATCATTTTAACCATTCATTATATTCGTTCTTTCATAATTGTATTCTATTAAGGTTTGAACTCATAAAGGTTAGTTTTCGTTACCTCTACCTCTCTTAGAACGGCAAATATCATATTACTTTATTATGGTATTACAACTCAGAGTAGTATCACAAAACTTTCTTGTCTCTAATTATTCTTCCCACTTTCGAGTGTACGATGTGTTCATTATTTCTCAAAATACAAAACGATCTACTCGTAGCCTAATTTCTTTTATATAGCCTATTAAATTGAAGGGCAGTCGAATATTGATGCACATTTTTTACTATTGTGGATCTAATTGGGATAGTTTGCTATCTATGCAGCACTTCAAGGCTCCTGAATGTAGTCCTAAAGTGGCATTTTACCATTCACAGTTGTCTTAAGATTAAAAGCCTTTACGAGGAAATCTATAAACTTAACAATATATAAACTATAACTCATAAATATAACAGTATAACAAAAGGAAAGGTTCAATCGTTACATCATTCTAATTAGTTTTTCAATGTTTCTGAATACCAATGGCATACAGATTGGAGATTATAATTTGACCTAGGTTTACTTCGCATTCAAAACCCGGAAATGAAATTGTAACTTAAAAACAATTAATATGTTTTCAAACATAGATTCTTCGTCGACAGCCACCTTTTGGTGATCGTGTATATGGAAGTGCCCTCGAAGTACCAAAATATGAGCTGGCTGCAGAACAGGTGCGTACCTAAACCTTATAAGCTTTTTAAAGCGGTAAAAGAATAGAACATTTTTATTTTTTCCTCAAGTTGACGACAAGTGCTACTGATCAGGTGGAGTTCGAGTTCGCTATTCGTCTAACAAGATCTTGCAAATTTGATCAAGTAGCTCTAATGGTTGCCGATGACAAGAATCGTATCATTTTCAAAACTGTTCTCTCGTAAGTTTCACTTTCAGATATGTTGTAGATAGTTTAGTTAATCAGTTTTTTATATTTCCTATAAAAGGACAAAGGTGCTTGAAACATCGGGTGGATGGTCACAAATTGTAGTCGTTCACTATGATCCAACTGTCCATTATCTCTTTACGAGCCTCATCAGCTTCAATTTTCGTACGTTGGTTAACCAGGGTATATTTTTAATGTAAAGTTCTATACAAAAAAGTAAAATTATGCGAATTTTTAGTGGGAATCGATTTGAACATTAACTTCCCGATTCCTTGGCCAGAATCCACAAATGTTCCTTTCAGTCAAGGAATACCTGCTAAGCCCACAATTGACAGAAGTATTGATGTCCCTCTGCCGGTAACAGTTAGCCCGTACTTCTCTAGCGCACCTACTTTAGCAAAAACAAAAAGGCAACGTAAAGGGACAGCGTAAGTAATTTTTAACATATTAAAAGCTTAAGTCGTCATTTATGTTACACCTATAATTAGCTACAGCTCAAATTGACTCAGTTTCAGAAGTACATATTGAGAGCACAATAAAAGTAAAAAACTGGTAGCACATTTAACCTGACTTATTGTCAGTTTTAGAAGTTGAGAGAAGCCGCGACCAGAAAGATCATTGTAAGGATTTGAAAGGCTCATTTCGAGAAGCACTATTAGCTTACAGGTCAAAATTATTTGAACGCATAAGTGATGTGTAAGAATAACTTGTATGGTAAAATTCAAAGTGATCGCAGTTTCTCGCGATCATTAATACCATTTCCTTTATTATTAAATCTTTTAAAGCAGAGATCACAAGTGCATTCCATTTTATTTCTTACAATTACTCCATTTATATAAATTATTCTAATATGTTAAACATACATCTGGCTCTACCTAGTTTGTGCGCTTTTCTTCGTATTGTGTGAACTATTCTATTTGCGTTATTTCCTTATTAATTTGACCTTTGCAGACTCGTTCCTAACCTTAAATCAAGAACGATAAAGGGAACAAAGCCTCCAAAGACGTCACAGAAATCAGAAGCTGCGATGTCGACACCAAAGGTGACGAATGACGGATTCAAGCAGACGAATATTATGAATTTCTTCAAGGCAACCAAGTCGCTTACGGAGCATGTAAATAGGAGTATCTTTTTCATATTTTGCAGTTCCCTATTAGATTGTGAAATTTTGCTTATCGCATATCCCAGATGATATGTTAGTAAAGTAACAATTAATCTCTGTCAACTCTAATTTTATTCTTGTTTCTTTCGAAAGCTACTTATTTATATTAGTATTCAGACTTCTATGTTTGTTTCATCGTTTTTCTATGATCGATTTAACTTTTCATCATGCAATATAAAATAGCTATGTATTGTAAAGATAAAATTCTAGAATGAGTTGTAATTTTAAATTTAAAGGAAAGTTGGGAATGCTAATAAAAATTCTAATAATGCAACTCATTTTGTTCAAAGACTTCTTACTATGATGCTTCATTTTCCCTGATATTTTCAAAGTTAAATGAACTAAAGTTAGTTGTCTCTTTGCACCCAGGCATCAAAATGTGAACAAGCAATAAGCCCCATTACAAAGACCGGAATCCTTCCAGATGAATCAATTTTCAACATTTCTGAAGCAAACTTTTCAGAAATACATTCATCACTTCTAATCCCTTTCACACCTGACCCACCATCAGTTCAATCCTCGCCTCTCATCAAGAGTACTTCTGAAATACAACCACCGCATAAGAAAATCAAGTGGGGTAATGGCGATGATGAGGAGATTAGCCCAGAGACTGATAAGATGGTTGAGGAAGAACTTTGTTCATTTCTTTCCACTGTGGAAGCCACAGAAGCAAAAGAAAGTTCAGTCAACGCCCCTACTTTGCCTGTTGATCTAGACGCTGCTGGTGATAATCTCAAATCTTTGGAACCTAACGGGTATTCTACTCCTGTAATGTCCTCAACACAAGATAGGAATCAAGGAGATAAACTCAGCTTCATTCCTTCTTTTCGCGGGAACCATACTATTTCACCAATATTCCCACTCGATACGAGGCATTCTTTGAAAGGGGATTCCTCTGCAAACCCAAAGATCTTAAATCGAACGCCTTTCATCCATGAACCCTCCGATCAATCTTTAATCGAATTTAAGACGCCAAAAGACATGCAATTGTTCACTTCCCTCGACGACCCTGATGATTATTCACCTCCACCAAATGAGAAAACAAACCGTTCCGTTTTCAAAGTTCCATTTAGTGCAACGCCAACGAGACATCCTCTAAAGCAAATTCTAGCACCATCCACTCAAACCCCTAGAACTACCAATTCAGCGAAGTTATTCAAGAAGGTATCGTTTAGTATTTTACTGCCAAAATCAGAGAGCGGTTTTGGCGATACTGGTTACGGATCATCACCGATTTCGAAAGAAACAAGGGGCACTGTTGTGCCCATGATTAAAGAGGTTACGGAAGGTCCCTTGACAGCAAATGAATCACATGTGGAAAGAAGGCCAAGAACGACAGAAGTAAAAGAAAAGACGGTTAGAAAAGGATTGTTAAAGGCACCACCTTCGATTGAGGTCGACCTTGAACTTCTTAGAGAAGGCTGGGATCAGTTGGCAACATTTATCTACTGTTACAATATTCTCAAAAAATTCGGTAAGCCTTCATTCTGTTGGTGCTTTACTTAATTTTTATTTCTGAGTACTAGTCACATAAGCGTAGACCATTTCTAAAAATGATTGAAGAAGCAGTGAGAATTGAGCAATGCATATCAGATAGTGAGCTAGTTTAGGAAAATCATAAATGAAGTCATGTCTAGTTTGGGCTACCAGTGTTATCTTCTGACGCCAACTCTCAAACCTATTTGGGAAATCGTTTTCGATCACTTATCTTGAGCAGAAAAAGAGCCTCATAATACCATCCTGGTGAGGAAAATGGAATCCGAAATCTCATTTATTAGCCCATTTCAACTATTCCCTGTAAATCAGTAGGCCACCCATTCGTACATTTTCCCACTGTATCACCCATTGTAACAGAATTAACCGCATTAGCAATTTTAGACATTTTCAAACTAAACGAAATGTAAGAGTTGAACTAATAATTCAATAAGTTATATAAAAAAGTTTATATCAACTTTTTGATCGGATAGACTCTGAAAACATAGACTATGTCTATCTATCAGCGCCCAGCACACCACCTCACAATCCCAACGATCGTGAATACCCCAAGGATACGTGTGCCCCTTCTACTGTAGATATCAACTCTGCCATTGGATGTTCATCTCCCAGAGATCGATCTCCGATTCCTTCTGAGCTGGTAAGTCCGCCTTGAAATTTACCATAAAGTGATTTACCAACAGCGCTTAGTAAAGTTACTTCATAAAGATATCTAATTTGAAAATGTACAAAAGCGGTAGTTTACAGACGAAAATGTCTGTATAACGTAAAATGATTGGCATGTTCAAGCTTCTTTGATCTAAATCCCGATAGCTATTATCAGATAGAGAAAGAGATAAAGAGCTAACTTATCAGAATACCGAGAAAAGTCTCTTTTCATAGGATTTGTTGTTAAAGGTCATTCCACCACAGGACCAATGGCACTTTTATTCCACTTTAATTGTCAATACTGGCGGACAGTAAATAGCTCATCCTGAGACAGTAACCTTTTCCTGTATCCTATCAGTGACTTATTGCATTGATCGAATTAACTGATAACACCGGTCTTAAGTCTACGACATCCAAGTATGAGATCACCTGCTCTTAACATAAATCTACGTGTTTCTTTTTTAGAAATCCAATACAGTCGATTCAAAGGAAACACCTCAAGTTGAAGAATAGAATGGCAATGTTAGGTTTTGTATATTTTTATACCCATTTTATACCAATCTTGTAAGTAGTTTAAATATTTGAGACTTTCTTTGGAGTAAAAAAATTGTGTTAATTCAGTCGACTTTCATGCCCTGTTTATGAAGGTTCAAATTGCCATTTTATTTTAATATGGAACAATGCCAAGCCCACTACCTTGAGCAAATGGAAGATATTCCGGAGTTGCTCTAATAAGGAATTAGTGTTAGGGCGCTAATATCACTAGAGTTAACCGGTGCGAGTGACCACCAATATCAGTGGTTTTGCTCCAATTGGTATTGATCTCGTGGCCTCGGATTTACCGGACGGGAATGCGTGCATTAAGTTCTTTTACGTCTACTAATACCAATGTGAATGTCAAAGAATTCTTTCATTCGAATCAACTTCTATTTTTCCAGTCTACCAGTAGCTTCTATGCCTTTCCACGAAATTCAAATACGCAATAAATACCTGTTTCTAATTAGAAAATAAATAGGATATCCAATACGTTAGGTCAATAGTCGTGGTATCCAAATGTGCTGTCTAATTGTCCAGTCAATTCTAATTTACACAACATAAAACTGTGTTAAATAGATCTGACATTTTAGTCTTGAGTCTTATGCGTGGTCCACAGTAGGTTACAATAGTACAATAAAGAAAAATAAATAACTTTTACTACAAATCACCAATTTACATGGGAGAGGCGATAAAAATCACATAATGATGAGAAGGCAATTTTAGAAAGATGGTTTGTAACGAATCCAACGTCCCGAATATATCAACAACAGGTGAAATTAGTTGCGCATATACTAAAAATGAGAAATAAATAGTGAATAAAACGTTTGACCAATTATAAACAGACATCCTCATGTATAAAAAATGGGGAAATCAATACATGCTTACCTTTTAAAAGTTTTAAACGAAAAACGAAGTCCCGACAACAGTCGTTTTAGTCACTTAATTTTCATTTAATATCTAATTAAATTAGTTGGTAAGATAAATCAATACCCAATCACTGTCTTTTAAAGATCTTAGTAAATAATTGTTATGATCACATTACAACTGTTTATAAAATTACGCTCATTTCACCACAGGCCAGGGCGACAAGTAAGGATACTTGAGCAATTATCCACTTCAAGCCCCGAGAAAAAAATTGAGATTAATCCCTGTATACGAAGCTGTGCACGTGGTTGGTTTTATACACTTTGAAATAAACAAACATCACTTATCGTAAGTGGAGCAGGAACTTAGAACCTCTCTAATTGCGGAACTTACACTCTGACATCTCACTTTTGACTAATACGGTTGTCCTCTGTTCATATTATTGACAAAAGTGATATGTGAGCACGAATCATTTGGCCATCAATTTACGACACCATGATTATTAATTTGAATAAAGTTGTGCCTACCTGCATAAGGAGATGGATTTTCTCAATAACTTCAGGCATGACGGAGCCAATACCATCTAAGACACGTTTGCAGAAGCGTTGTGAAGCTTCTTCACCGGGTTTATCAAGAAGGAAACGCTCCTTGATGAAATCGAAGGACTTCTGAGGATCTCGAGCGATATCTCCGATGCCCGCATCCTGTACTAGGGACAAGATGGCCATGAAAACGTTCGCGTGTCTAAAGTAAAGTATACCGACAAAAATTCACAAGAAAAAAAATAATCAGATGGGCTAGTTATTAGTGAAATCACTAATCTCATGAAATAGGAATGTTTTCAAGCATTTATCTTTGAAAAAGAATTCGCTTTGGGAACCTTGATTGGGAAAATTGTAGACTTCTCATCTTAATTTTCACAGGATGACATGCGCTGACATGCATAAAATTCTCTTCCATATTCAGATTTTCTCCAATAATTCTTATTGCCCTACATCTACCCAATACGCTGTGTCCCAGTCCAACTTTTGGTCTTATGGTGCCGGCTTCTGTACCAAATAAGCCTTTAGTAAGACCATTCGTTTTACAAGAGCACATTTCTCAGCTTAAATTGATAGGGTTTCTAAAATAATTCCATTGGCGGAACCACTAAAATGTGTATCACTTGATTTCGGAAAAATTGTTGATGTCAATAGAATACAAAACCGATCACTTATTACCTTGAGCAGCCCTCTAATGAAAGAATATGAAGTGAATTCAAGATATACCAAACGATGACAAATATTTTTAACCACTTTCCCAAGTAACCGAATAAAAGGAGTTGTCCCAGGATTCCAATAAATAGTCTATTTTGAACAAAATGTAATTACACAAACAGGAAATATAATACAAAAACTCGAAGAGATAATAGAATGACTTACCCTCGAAGATTTAGGAAGGCTGTGTAGCCGGAATTGAGGAAGCTTTTAAAGAGTTCAGTCTTAGTACCTCCCATAGTCTCAATCATATCTTTTGTCAGCCTCACATTCGGTGCCATCATTTTTGGGTCATTTCCAAAGATAAAACTGAAGTCAATGTGAAATAGTTTACCCTCCTCAGTCAGCAAAATGTTCTCCAAGTGTCGATCGCCAACGCCCAGTAGGTAGGTGATCACGCAGTAACCAGCTAAAGGAAAAAGAAGATAGAAGATATGAAAAACTACTAGGCCAATCGTAAGGGAACGAGGAAACTGGTGACCATTCCGATCTAAGTGTTCAACTCTAACTACGTACATGAAGATTGTACATAAAGCTACCGAGGACTGCGAAAGATATAAACACACCCTGTTGTACACAACAAACTTACCGCAAGAACGCATGTAAGTTTCAAGAACGTGCTTTGGAATGGTAGGACTACGATTGCAGTTTTGGAGGTACTTCGCGATTGATCCTTCTTGTCGAGACACTTCGGCAATCGGTACACCTCTGACGAATTCAATGAAACCTGTGAAAAATATCCTTATTAAGAAAAAATAAATATAGGCTAAGAGACTTAAAAGAGAATTCAATAACCAAATCTAAGGATCGTATTCAAGAAAAAAAACTCATATAAATACGGGGATACAAAAATTACGTATTTCAATTCCAAATTTAAATCAAATTTGTTCATTAACGTCAACCTCTGAACCTATTTTTCAAGTACTCGATCAATTAACTCTACATTCTGTTAACGCGATCGACCGTTCAATGTTGACATTGTCCCTAGTTTCTGTTTGGCCTGCTCACTCAATGCCATGATTGACTACTAAATAACTTTTCAAATAATATTTTTTTAAATCAAATGGAGACTCGCTGAACAACCGGTCTATATACGTCAGTTAGCCACTGTTACAAGCATATCCAAATACATTACTACTGACCTGTATACTCACAATCGTTCAGCTTATTATCATTAATTCAACAGCAAACCTGGTGGCTACAGCCCTCTACACACTTATGTATTACAAATTATGGAAAAGTACCAAGATATTTATAAATGGCAACAATTGAGGGAAATTTTAATATATATATAATAATCTAATCAAAATTTATAATTAAAATATTTCACCATGACGACAGCTCGCGGGAAGAACTCTATAGGGCGTTAGGTGTAGATCAAAGGATTCCTTCTTCAGTACCTGAAAGATTAAATTTAACGTCTTTTTAAATTTTATACGAAAATAACAACAAATGAAATATTCCTAAGCTTCACTTAATGATAAGCTGCATTTAAATAAAAGAGAACAGGCTCAATGGAGGCAATTTTCACAGGTTATCTCATGATCTCTAACTTAACACGTTGACCATCGCACCCCGTTGGTAGAAAAAAAGTACAATGAGTGGCTCATTTATTTAAACCCATTAACGTTGAAAGAAATGTTTCATGTATGATTAAATACACTTACTACATCCATTAGGCGTAACATTTGAAGCACCAGTTGATCTTGGCGCAAATCATCACCAGTCTTGAAGATAACCAGATATACTTCTCCGGAAGTGGATATCAATTTGAGCAGTGCAGGTTGAGTAGTACTCTAAAATGTGAATAAAACATTCTACGAGAACCTTATATAGCCGCTGGAATAAACGCTCGATCATTAAACACAAAGTTGAACGGATTTATTTTGAGAAACACTGCCTTGGCTAGAGATAGCAGATCCCGAAAAAAAAACAGAAGTCCCTCTCTGTCAACAAACAGCCTTCCATTCAGCCTGTGGTACCTATCTCACACATTTTTTGAAATTAAATAATTGACAATTTCCTTGCTTGAAAACATGTTAGTAAATGGGGAAACCATAATGCCATCAGTACAGAATCACAAAATAACTCCATTTTCTTATATCATCGCTTGAGTCATAGGTCTGAAGGTTTTATGCAATGGAGTTATGATATCATCTCAGTGGGTATCCAGCAGCATAACGGTAACATTCACCATTATATCAGTGGCTATTTTGTTTTCATACAATGTAACTTATCAAGGCAGAGGCTCTTCTTTCGAGACCCCTTCTTTCATTCAATCGTCACATTTTGTCGGCAATAGTTAATCCGACAAAGTGCAGGCTTAAAAACCCGACACGTGCAATTTCGATGTAATTTTTTTCCAGATTACAATAATACCTTGAATAAAGAGGCAGATTTCGCATCAATTTCACCAATCAAGAAGCTTGGATCCAGTGGAAAAGGTAGAGGGCGATCGAATTTAGACAACGCAGGTCCTTGTTCGGCCAGTTTCCGCTGCAAGATCTCTATCTAAATCAACAAAAGTGGAGTCAACCGAAGGCTACCAAATACCAGCATTTTATTTCCCCTCCGCTCACCTTCACAGTTCGTTTAGCGTTAGTTTCGAGTACTTGCTTTATCAAATCATATAGGCCATCAACAAAAGTTGTCTGATTTAGCAGATCCGTGTGCCAACCCAAGAGTGTTTCCGAACCCTGAAACCAACAACAAGGTACGATTAACAAGGGTTTACACGGCCATGACGATTTGACCAGGAAAATGAACGAAACGCTTATTGCTACTATTGGACAGAAATAATAAGACTTTTAAGGCATACGATCCGACAATAAAGGTGACATCGACTTCAGCAGAGGTAAAGAAATTGCTCAAGCATCCTATTCAACTGGACCATTGATTATCTCGCCAACCCATCTCTAACATTTTCAAACTCCTTACTGAAATTTGTCACAACATTTATGAGAAGCAATGGAAAAGAATGCGGATGAAATTCACATTCTACCGAATATTTTGTTGACCGGTGTGGTTGGCTATTAATACCAATGGAGGAGTACCTCTGAGCATCAACCTCATAGCCTCTGACTTGACAGTCATAAGCTTGAATCGATTTTAGAAGCCCTTCATTTTACTAACCTTAGCAAATTTGACAGCAATACGATTTATCACCTAAATTCCTTGTGCCCCAATCCAAAGAAAAATCTTAAAAGATTTAGGCGTTAATTTGCTAAACAAATATTTTATAAAATGGCGTAATAAATAAATAAATAAATATTCGACTATTTTGGTAGATAAGTTTGTGTATTTGTTTTTAATGTTTTGTGGTGACTAAACTATCGACTGATTCTCGTAACACCAAATACAAAATGTTGTCATTTTTGCACAAAATTACTAACATTCGGACCTAGCCAATCAAAATAAAATTGAGCTAAGAATATTTTTTTCATCAAAGACTTCCATCCGTTTTGTCTTCCAAAAGTTTAAATAAACGGATTGATTGCAAACTCACAGTAAGTGTAGTCATAAACCGAGTGAGCACACGATCGAACACCTTCTTCATTGTCGGCGTGTTTGGCGTATCTTCATGAACTTCCAGTTTCAGGAACCAATAGAGGTAATTTGCCAGACGGAAGTTTGACTTGCCCCTATGGATTAAGAACTCCGCCAAATTCATCTATAAATTTGTAAAGCAATCGACTAGTGAATATATAAAGGTATCACTACTAACGTAGCCTTTTTAATTACAGTTCTTACCTTCCAAGGGCAATCAGTAATATCAGGATTGAGATCTAACTGAACCGATCGAGAGAAATTGCCTACTGCGTTCTCCGTGTCAGATGTTTCTGCTTCCTGCTTGTTTACTGTAGTGAGGTCGGATTCTAGAATAGTCTCGGTGTTTTCATAGCGAAGAGCTTGAACCAGTTGATAGAGGTAAAGTTCAATGTCCTAAGAAAAAAATAAAGAAGCAATAGAATTATCATTATTTTTTTCTGTTGATATATACCACTCGGATCACCCATCTTCACCGATCCAAAGTTGTAAGCTATCCCAATTCAGTTCTGACTTAAATATCTGTTCCATCCTCCCTGTTATTTGTAAATCATAGCCACAATTCGAAGTTAATTCCGCTAGTTAATGGTCCATTCAATTGCTTTCTTCATTAGGAGCTCTAGATCTTTTAGTAGTGTAGATAATTTACCTTATGAACCGGTATAATGTTAAATACTAAATGTGAAGCATTATAAAATGCTTACCTTGGGTAGGAAGATGGCATCGCCGAGACACCAAGGTGAGAAAATCAATTTCTGCCATCTTCTTTAACAATCAGTTTTAGCTATTGAGATTAGTCATTTTACACCCTCGAAAAACTGCGTATTCCCTGATTCTAAACTAATATACTTTTGATGGTCATATCCGATTTCTTGCTCTTTATTTTATTGACGAACTTGAAATGGAAGTTTCGTGTAAAGTAACCCTTCCACATTCTGGTAACTAAATCCTACAGATTGAAGTGACCTAATATACAGTATTTCGACTTAAAACGGTATTAAGCAGCCTGTTCTAATACTTCCCAAACTAATTCAGGGAAGCGGTTTCCAATGCCCATCTTGAGTAGATTAGCAAAATGGAGCACCTCTCGTGAGTGACTTGAATTTTGTTGCCTCCTTTATATTAATCAAACTTAACCAATGCGATTGACCACTCCGCACATTACTAATTCATCGGTAAAAATTAAGCCGTAGATTTCACTTCCCTCTTGTCACACATTTTCTTATCCTAAAGCGCAAGAATTTCCACATAACAAATTTTTCGTCTCACTATCTTGCATTGTATGGAATATACTTACTCTAAACCGAACTAATATATCGACTGATAATGTATAAAAATTAAATTGAATAAATCACCCAAGATAAACTGTAAAATAATACCTCATCACTAGCATCTTGTAGACGTGATACAGCATAGAGTCGACAAACAGGAAAATCAGCAAATGGTTGTGTGAGTAATTCCAAAACCCTCTCAGCAGATGACGAACGTGGCCAGACTTTGAGTAATTCAATCGCCTGTTTTCTCTGTTCTCCAAAGTCCCATTGCACGGCAACCATGAATTTTGACAAAGCCTCCTAAATACAAGGGATAAAATTCAAACTCCAAAAAAGCAAAACTTACCTCAGGATGCTTATTTGAAAGGTAGAAACGATACTTCCAAATTAGATCACTATCAGCTGGCGTGAGTCTGTCGGTAAAGCTGAGGTCCAAAATAGCCTAAAAGTGTAAATTAAGCAATACGCTGTGTGCGTTGAATGAAATCAAACCTTGAGACGATCCTTAATCTCTTGATTAGGAATCTTCTTCCTATCTTCATAGGCTGAGCTGACTGTTCGCGTCATTTTGAAGTACATCTCATCGTAAGGGTTCCACTAAAAGAAAGAAACCTTGGTAATTGAACTAGAATAACCTACCTTCTTACTCATTTCCACGTATGTAAGATCGCCAGCTTCCTGAAATGGTAAGAAAATTTGCTATATTTTGACATTTTATAGAAAACTTCAAGAGAAATGAACCCACCGAACGCTCGAAAACAACTGGAACTCGAAGGTAAGGATAGGATGTCGAGAATATGAACTTAACAGAAAGAAACATTTGGTTGCTCGCTAGTTTCAACTCATCAATTCGGTGCAAAGCAACTGCAAAGGATTGTTGATCCAAGGGGGTCTCTAAAAATTCGCCCCGCAAAAGTTTTCTATTCATTTTGAGGAGGTTATTTAACTCGGGAATGTTCTTTGGCTTAGCAATTAAATTTTTGTCTATGACACAATCTAATGCTGAATCGAGATCTTGAATATCATAGTCATCAAGAGGATGCATAACAAAGTCGTAATTACAATTTCGGAAAGTTCTAAATCATTGCGTTGTGACAGACTTTTTCCTTACCTTTTAGAGTTGTAAAAGAAAATATGGCATCCAGCGATATATTGATCATGTACCCCTTTACTATCGGTGTAGGAGGACAGAAGAATTAAACAAATTCCAGAGTAGTGATAGAGCCAAGAATATGGAAAAGGTAAATCAATTCCATCTTCAAAAGTTATTATGTTAGATCCATTGCTTTTGGTGAAATTTGTATATGTCCAAGCACCAACTCGCCGAGTTCTGAACATTGGCAGAATTCTTGTTATACAGTAGGCCAATCGCAATTCTCCATAACAAGCCAGAGAATCATAGCGACCTTTTATTTTCTTGAAGGTATCTGCCTTGAATCCAGAAAGTGATTTACTAAAATATCATATAATAAGATATTAACTTCATACATTATAATATGAGGAATCAAAGATTTCGACTTGTATTGTTTGGGCAAGTCACAGGATCTCAAATAAGTTACGTTCAAGTCCATGATTGTCTGAAAATTATTAAAGAAAGTATGATTTAGTCCACGTAAAAATTATTAGGCCCGTTAATTTTTATTGGAAATTCCTAATGCATTAATAGCATAACAATAAAAATATTGAAACTTTTATCTAAAAATTAATCACTTCAAGTTAAATAACACTTGGAGATATCTAATACTAACACTTATTGAGAAACATCCGCGGAACGCGCCCAATATTCGACCAATAGCTTTACTCCTATGAGCTCGTTTAAAATCTATCAGATGTTTCTCAAATATTTTTATACTTTGCTAAAATTATTTTAATATTCAATCGTTTTTTATATTTTATTTAACTGGGTGGTTTTCTTGACTTAGCCTTGTTTGTTTTCGTAATTCTATGGGAAGTTATATAAAGATGTGAAATGAACACGATTATATTTTCATTATCTCTATATTAACTCAAAAATTGAACTAACTAAACCTTACGACAAAATACTTGAAGCGAGTAATTTTTACTTGTCACACCTAATTATATTCAAGTACTTTGAGAGACTAGTATCTATGGCAGGGCCATAACAGAAAGACGCCAAATAGCAGTGATTTGAACAGAGCAAAGCCATTGAGTAAGCCCCTACCTGAAATTTGTAACTATGACTATGTTGACTGGGTTAGCTAGAAGGAATGGGTTAATTCACTGTTATTATATCAGTGTGGAGGTAGACCGGAATATCGATCCATTTTTTTTATCGACAAAATACTACTTATATGGAAGCACTTCAGTAACAAAGCTCACTGCATTGTTCAGGTGGTTTAACAATAGACAAATGGTATAAGTGGCTAAATCAGTCTAATTGAAAACCTTCAAAATTATTATTTATAATCTCTAAATGAAGCTTATTTTAACGTAAAAAACTTTCATCGCTACTTACAAAGGCTCCGAAATTTGATACTTTATATTTATTTATTTATTCAAGAAAATTCCAAGTTGCTTCAGTAAACTGGGCTGATTTTTTTCTGGTCGAATCTCTGCTTTCTGACTGGATTTCGAGTAACACCAGCGCACTCGACAACTGCCCTTGATTACGCATAACAGCAAAAGGGCAATTCACAACCTATTTCCAGCCAATATAGGGTAAGGCAAACAAGAAATCGTAGGAAACTCGATTAGGTAAATGGATAATATGACCGATAACTAGAAAAAGGCATGAGGTACAGTAGAACTTACAAATGATTAATGAATCATTAGCTGAGTTAAGCCATTTTATCATATTTTAACAAAAAATTGGGAACTTATATATAGAAACGATCCATGCCGCAGTTATTTTTGCAAGTTTCACTAAGCAAAATCCCTAATGTAGTCAAATTTAGGTCAAGTAGCTAATGAACCCAAATTTGATTAAAATGTCTCTAATTTTAGCAAAATTTTTCCTTTTAAAATTCTTGTTTGGCTCTGTAGCGGATAAGCTCTGGCTTTTGCCCAGCAATCCCTATGGCAAGATCTCCTGATTAGGAATATTTCCAGGAATTAGTAACCCTGTCTCAACGATATAGGGGAAGCAGCCGTGTGACATGGAATACGTTAATTTGGGAATTGACATGACGCTTAGCAAAAAAATACAGTTTGGGAATGATGACCCTGTAATGAATATTGATCATTGATTGGTCTAGTAGCCTCTGCACTAGTGAAGTCATTTGCTCCTTGACGCTATTAATAAATCTTTGATTAGTCTAATTTTGTGCTTCATAACTTCATTGAAAACCTTTGACTGTTAATTGCGGCAACCAAACGACATCGAATAGCAGTAAGTCAAACTGATATTAAAGGGGGGGGGGGGTCGTAAAGATGCCGAGCACAGCATAATTTAATTTTGAACTGGGATTGAACAGTTTTTAATAATTGGTCAAATCACTTTAAAAAGTTGAATTTCACTGGATTGCCACAAATTTTTGTTTACGTGGTTCGGTGTAATCAAAAAGGGCTGATCTTGCCGCTATTTAATTTTTTTAATATATTAATTTTAACGAATTATTCTTACTATTTCTGTTTCAAAGCGCAAATCGACACAGTGGAATGAGAATTAAATGCTTGTAGTGCCAATGATACCATAGAAAAGACCTAGATGCCATGACCTATCACCAATAAGCGAACTCATTTATGAAGCAATCAAAGGCTAAAATGAGGTAATTGACATACATCTATAATTGTCTGAGATGCTGCTTTATTGGAAAAGTAATTTTGTGCCTTAAGAAGTTAGAACAAATGAATGATTGCTGCAGAAGTTGTTCAGCTAATAAATCTACAAGTAAAGGTTTATTTTCTGGGTCTTTTGGCCAAACAATGATTAGGCTAGTGGTTTTGGGAAGAACAAACTTCAACCTACGCTTTATGAGGGGCAATTCTTCATCCCGTGCCGTGGATTCATGACCAACTCTACAAACCACTTGTACAAGATGTTTCAGATCGAGGAGATTTCCCACACTTTCTACCTACCAACTCTCTGAGTTTTTTGCGTTCAGTGTGTTCAATGCGTTACAAAAACGCTATGTGACAATCAACACAAAACATAATAACCATGAGTTATCAAACCTGAAGCCTGCTCATTCGATTGAAATAATTTTAAAAAAATCAAATAATTTTCGTTGAATTAAACAAGTCATTTTTTGCATGTTTGCTTGAGCGTACATAGTATTGATTTAATTTGGAGCAAAAATATAAACTGCCGATGAAAAATCGATAGAAAGCAAGTGCAAATGGGGTAAAATCTCTCAGTTCCAAAATTAGCCGCTAGCTTATTTGGTCTCTCCCCTTGCCTTTGGTCAAGTTTATTCCAATACATGGGTACTATGTAAATGTAGAGTTTAAGTAAATTGTGAAATAAAAAAAGATAGATGGCAGGTGGAAATTAGTTTGAGCTTCTTATAAATTTATTCGATTTAAAAGTATAATCCACTAAGCAGGCTAAAAGTGATTAATCTCGACAAAATTGAGGCCATGAATAATTAATGTATTCAGAGTTCATTAGGAAAAAACATCTTAGCAATCAAACTCATTTGACTCATTCGACTAAATTTCATGCATTCACTTTATAATTTGGAGGATTTGAGGCTGGTAAAAGCAAACTTCATTCAGTTTGACTTTCAACACCTTGGTCTTAGCATAAATAAAACTATCTTCTTTGTTTTACAGAAAAAATCTATTTAACTAAGAACGCTTCATCTTCAAATTCCCATCTTTGAAACAGAATCGCTTGATGTTTCTCACACTACCGATGCTCTGAATCACCAGATTCTCAGTCAGTATACTTACCATGACAGACGAACTGCATTCTCCGCCTACCGTGGTCTTCGTTTTAAAATTGGGTTCTGAGACCAAACATTTTTTTCATATCAGTCTATATTTCTGCCACTTATCCACCCCTTAGTTTCCACAGCGCTAACTAGTTCGCCATTTTTCACGCTTTTTCGGGTAATGCACTGCTCGATTGGTTAAGTGTGTGTGTGCGTGTGTATGTGTGCTTGGGACGCACCGAAAAATTCGCATAGATCTGCAGCAGCACACTTCACTGCAAACACAAAGATTTAGCTCTTTTTTGTCTACTTGTAAAACACCTAGCGATTTTTCGTGCTCTTTCCATGCAAGAGGCACGCGTGTTGTGTCGAAGCAGATGTGAATCTATCTCATGGTGGTTTTAACAAAATTACTCTTTTCTCACCTGCCTAGCCACCTGGAGATGAGTCATCTGTTGACTTCTCTACTGCCTGAACACTATCACTTGCAGGTGGTAGAGCAAACAAACAAACAACACAATTCTACCAGCCAGAAGAAAAGCCAGTTAATCTTCGCCAGTTAGAACAAAAATTATTGGCCGGCGAAATTTCAGTTTTGAAATTATAAGCACGATGCAATTAATTGCTCATTAGACAATTACCACTTAGAGGTTCATTAATTAATTTAAAGCCATTTAATATGGCCTGGTGAGGCTATTTTGGCAATCAAACTGACACAATTAATTTAGAAGTTTGATTTGTCCTCTCTTGCTTAACAAAGGGCATGAATTTCTCAACGCATAAGTGCCTTTTCTATAATTACGTTTAGATAAAAACAATTCTTTAGCTTGAGGTGAAATAAATCAACAAATCTCATTGTTCTAATGCATAGAACGTAAAATAAAAGTGCCATTATTTGGCATGCCCATTTTACTGCCTTTTTTCTTACTTTCTAGCAAGAATTTAATTGATTTCCGTGATAAATAAGGAAAGTTTACATAGGATTAGAATCGTAGTAATCCGTCTCATTTCAACTATTATAAATAGGTTTCATTTGACCTGATAATGAAGCTATTGTTATGCCAAACTGATTTTTGAATTCCGACAACACTAAGATGTCCTATTTTGCTGACACAAGCTTTAGTGACCAATTTCAATAACCATTCATTGGCAGCTGAAACCGATTTAAATATATCCGATACATTCGCACCTGGATCAATAAGCCTATCAATGAAGCAATTGTACACATCAAATATTGGACACCAGATCTTCTCAATTATTCCAATTAATTTTAGCCACATAAAATTTCACAGGGAGGAGTGTCAAACATTATTTACCACTCCGATAGTGATCAATCTTGCTTTCTTTATTTAATTTCTTGACTCATTATTAGCACCAATCAATTTCAATGCGACAACGATGTGAGTTCGTTGAGCGATTTGTGACTATAGACAAAGATATAACTTACGGCTTATCACCTGCGCCTAATTCTGACTTAAGAAAATTCACCAATAACGATTGCATGGATTAAATTAGTAGTAAAAATGGGGAGGAAAGATAGTTGGAAAAAGGCAGTAAACGGAAGCACAAAGACAAGAAGGAAAGGGCTGAAGAAAAGAAGAAAATGGTGGTGAATAGAGGAGAGAAAAAAAGATTTCTAATCTAAATGATGGATAAAATAATTTGAAAACAAGGGGAGAACAAGATGGGAAACCTAATCGATCGCTAGTGGGCTATTCTTGTTTATAAATTTGTTC